ATTCCTGCTAAATAGCTGTATTTGTCATCGGGCAAAAATTTATTTTACCTTATACTTCTCTGTTCATCAGATGTGCAAATTACTTAAATATTGCACTAAAAATAACAGCAAGACAGCTGCCTGTTGCTTACATTGACCTCTTGAGCTTCAAGAGTGAGAGTTAACTTGTCTTCAGTCTACCATAGTTACAAAAAAAGTCTGGTTTAACACACAGGACAGAGGTACATCTTTCTCTTCCTCAGCAAAATATTTCGTGCCTACCTTTCTATGTGATTAAATAGGCCCAAAATGTATCCTGTTCATGAAAACCAGACTTGGTCTTCAGCATCCACCGGTTCTTAACATAGCTTTTCCAGATTTCTTAATTGCAGTTTTAAAATGTGTATGACTGCTGGCTGAGTACAGGGATGGTGGTATTGAAACTTCAGTGGAAATCAGCATTTTCGCGTTAGATTCAGAATATATTTGCTTAGAAACAAGGTTTAAAAAAAAAAGGTTGAGTTTTTGTTTGGCTTTGCTGAAAAGCAAAGTAGTCCTTTATTATATTCATTTGGAATCCATAGCGACTTTTTGCACTGCAGTGCTTCTCGAAGGGAAACTGCTATAGTAAGGCTGAATTAATACCATTAAGACTGTGTTTGACCTAAAAGGCCAATTCTAGTGTCCTATTTCAAATAGGAAAGTTGGGAGTCCGTTTTTTTATCTTTAGACCCAAATGAAATAATATTTCCAAAACATAAAGGTCAGAAAACAAAAACTGCATTTGCATATCAGTGTCTAATAATATAATAACTTCCTGTTCCATTTAGCACTATCTTTTTGTGACTGCATTCTTTAAAAAAGGATCTAAATTGCTTTTAACGAATGCATTGATTGTTCTGATTCATTTAATACAGCAGTTTTACCACACATCTTTTACAAGATGAATGCATGTCGTATGAGCTCCTATGAAACCTAAGTATATTGCAGGTTTCCAAGGGTTGTCTACTAACATAAGAACATATTGATGTTGTTTTGTCTATCCTCTGGACTATCATTTTGATTCTCCTTGTCCCTTTCACTCTGGTTTTTCTTATTTTTATGTTGTTACCACACCCTTTTAACTCATTTCAGACTACCCCCCATCTTTAGTTCAAGGAACATGGTGAAACAAGTATCTTGTGACAGTGATTTACCTTATTTTCTGGGCCTCTGTACAGAACACCTGCACCTCTTTAGGTGCCGGTCCTTTTCCTCTGTGGAATTTCTAGGCTCCAGTGGTATGTCTCTATAGCTTTTAAATGTAAGACAGCAGGGTGGCTTTTTGAGATGCTGCGTTAACCCTTTCATTGTTTTGCCTTTTGATGGGGACAGTGCTTTAGGAATAAATACAGCCAAAGCTCAAAGGCTGTTAGTTTATAGGAAATTGTTTTTTTTAAAGGGATACTGTCAGGCTTCTTCATCATTAAAATTCAAGTTTATTTCTCATAACATGATAAAATATGTATGATAAACTATTCAAGTAAAACACTGCAGATGGATTTCCAGGGTATCTTTTAAGTCATATCCCTTAGACACAAAGATACTACAACAGCATGCTGGGATATGGCTATCTGATAGCAGAATTGTCAAAACTGAACAAAAACCTATGGTGGGGAAATTCCTGAAAGACAAAAACGTTTTTTTTCTTTTCTTTTTATAAAGGGCATGGGTGTATTTTGAAATTCCTTTCTGGTTTTCTGTAACACTGCACTATAGCAGTAATAGCTACTAAAAAGTTAACCTGACATTGTCCCACTACATTATTTGCAAAATGAGAAATATAAATTCTCATTCAAGTGATAGTGACTTTTCTGTCAGGGTAAAGAGAGAAATTGTATATTTTACTGTAATGCAAAGAAAGGGTTTGCGCTTTGCATGCATGCATAGTTTTTTAGGGTATTAATAAGTATGCCAAATATCTTACTGCTTACACTGAAGCTTAGCTACTGCCTTTATAGGAAAATAGGAATTAAGTATGTGGTGGTGTTTCTTTTGTACATGAAAACTAAGTTTCCATGAAATACAGCATTTTATTTGTAATTCAAGTGAAGCTGACATAAGTACAATTCAGTTGATTGTATATTTGAATCGACTGTCCCTCAAATTTGAGTACGGCCAAGGTGGATCCATATATAAATACAGACATTTTGGGGTGAAATTTTGTTGAGGGGTGAAATTTTGTTGAGTTACTTCTCTATGGAAAGCACTAAATGAGGAGTGAATGGGAAACACTGGATATCACAGGAATGTCGATGCTTATTAATTTAGGGGAGGGAACAGTTCACAGTCGTAATGCTATTTCTCATAAATGTACCTTGAACTGAAAATCAAAACATTATTTCATTCACTATTGTTTTTTCATTTAACTATCTTAAAAGAAATATAGCAACTGTAAATTTACAATATCAAATTGCAAAGTTGTAATGTTACAGCTGTATGTTGAAAATACTAATGGACATGTTTTCCTTTTCTGAAATGCAATTGGATGAAGAGCTGTTCATTGAGTTATCAAACTTGCATCACTTTAGAGAACTGCAATTGTTTTTTTGCCAAGATGTTTAAATGCTTTTTAGTGTGTTAGTAATATGGATATTCATGGTTGGTGTATAATCAATACTAATGCAGAAAAGCAAAGTCCAATAAATTTTTAAATTTTGGGTTCCTTTACTTACCTGTTCTAATATATGAAACTTCTAGTCTTTTAAGTACTGTTTTTAAATGCATAAAGGTAGGTGTAAATCTGTCTTACAAAGTTAAAACTTGTAACCTCAAGGTACAAAAGTGCTAACAATGGTTTTCCTTTGATACTGAAGGCAACAGTTTGTTTTCACAGAACACTGAAGATGATAGAACGTGAATTCTGCAAATTTATTTCTTGGAAGTTGTAGCATTTTTAGCCCTTGTCTGCTAACAGTTGACAAAATAGCCATCCTGTTTTACTTGCATGAATGAGTTATCTGTGTAGTGTTGTGCCAGGTATGAGAATGAGTAGGAGAAATACTGCCATTTCCTGACTATTTTTTTTTAGTGATTTACTAAGTTTGTGTTAGAGAAAAGTTATCTTTCATGAACTGCTTTGGGAGTAGAGTACAGTTGTAATGGTTGAAGACCACTTTATGTGTACGTGGGATTTGTATCCCATGGTATGTTACATGGTACCTTTAGTTTGGTGCACTCTGGAAATTGGCACGTCTTCTTCCAACTCCTATAATATTTAGTATCCATGATTTCAAGAGTAGTATGTCTGCATGTGCTGATTTAAAATAAGTACTTTTTATCATGCATTAATGCTTGCCTATGCAATAGCTTAAATCCTGTCTTATGTTTGGAAATTGGTTTTTTTTTACTATTTTTCTACCAGGTTTTGAACTGTATTCCATGGTGCCTTCTATTTGCCCTTTGGAAACGCTACACAACTCTTTGTCTCTGAAGCAGGTGGATGAATTTCTTGCCTCTGTTGCTGCTCCATCAAGGGAAAATCTACAGGAGACATGTACTGATTTTAGTTTGTACTTATGTTTGTTTTAAATTGTTAAATATTGTCTAGTTAATCTTTCTGGTATTCTACAGTTAACAAGTAAACGAAGAATACTGCTTTAAAAAAAATGAAATACGTACATAAACCGTAATTTTAATTTTTGCAGTATCTTTTTGCGGTATAGATACTGGCATAATTCATTGACTCTCTCTCTGTTGACTGGGGTAGTAAATTAAGGATTGAATGAAATTATAATTGGTTTATTTCCTCACATTAATAACTTCTCCGTACTATCCACACTGTTAGTTGAATTACAATGAATGCTTTTTAGTGAGCTTGCAGTATTTCCAGCTTCATACTGGGTGGTTGTAGTGGCAGTAGTAACACTCAGCAGAGTGTTAACCTTTTACAAGCCTTTTATGTCTTAAAACTCTGTTATTTCCTGTTTCTTTCAATGTTACTTGAGGCTTCACCTGTGAAGTGCCTTGCAGTTACTTAGTTTTTTAGCAGTTTGTGCTGCCTGTTTAATGTTTAAATGACCTTGAAATGAAATGCAAACTGAGTTCTATCCACATGCATGTCTCTGGGAAGACTTCCCGTTGCAATTTTACCGCTGTGTCTTTGGAAACCGTTTCAGTTAGGTCAGATTAACCACATATTAGGATGCTTATAATTCACGTGTCAGGTGATTGAAAGTCATTCTTCTTGAGGAAATGTCTAAAGACTCATGCTTTGATCAGAAAATTTGTACTTGCTAGTACTGATACAAAGTTTACCTAGATGTTGGGATTCTTCCCTTTTTTTGTTATAGGATTTTTCCTTTTTTTTCCCTGTTGCTTTAGTTTTATATAGTTTAGATTTTAATCAGCAGCTAATTTGATAGGGTAGGCCTCCTACATCTGAGAAGGAAGATAAGCAATTTAAGAAAACTGATGTTACTGAAAAAGAACTCAGGGAGGCTTACAGGTATTTTAAAGTTCTCACCTATTTAAAATGCTTTGTTACACTGGTTGGTAAGTTCGTGTCTCTTCAAAATCAGTTCAGAATTTAGAGCACACAAGAAGAAAAAATACCTTAAAAAGAACTGTTGTATTTCTGTGGTGATCTGGTTGTCACCTTTCTACAAAGGAATGGTTGGAAATTAGACCTGATAGAATTGAGGCCATATGTGCTTTGCTTTCCTTCTGCTTTCCTATAACATTTGGAGTTGTCTAGAGAATAACGTGTTGTGTGTACTTTTAATAGGCGTTTTGGACTAAATGGGTCTTTAGTGCAATCTTCATAACCTATGAGAAGTAGCAGTAATGCTTTTGCCAGTCTTCTGGCAAGGCAGCTCTTACTAAAATTCAGCTTAGCTGCCTTAGCATTCTAAGCTATCATGTCACTTCCTGAGGTAAAAAAGAGATTTTTAGATTTGTCTTTCATGCTTTGAAGTTCTGACACTAGAGTCAAAAGTCGGTAGCTGAGCTGCAGGTTGTGTTACTGTGGCATCTGTATTGCTGGACAGATACACAGTTCTGTGGCTATTTGTGACGTTTTGCTCAGGTGAGAGTACTTTTACTGTTAATGATGTGTATCTTTTCTCTCTCCACCTCCTTCCCCCATTTCAGCTTCTCCAACTTATATGACTCCATTGTCAGGAAGAAAGATTTCTTTAAATACATATACCCCTGCAAAAATTCAGCCAACACCACTTGAAACTTTGCCTGAAAGGCTAGCGATAGAGAAGCCAACCTTATGTAAGTAACTGCTGTCAGAGGCAGAATGGCTAACTTGATGACATTATTTCCAGCAGTAGGATTCTTTCGTATATATTACGTAATTTCTTAGGGCAGCTATTTCTTAACAGTCTCTGTCTGTGTAAGTGGGATCATTTTACAGGTCAGCGAGAGCTCAATAGCATTGCATAAATAGTTTTAGCAGTAAAACCGCATTAATAGTTACTTTCTGTTACCCTCTGAAGTGTTTGAAAGAATTTCTATGACCTGAAAAATTCATGGGGTTTGGGTTTTTGTTTTTTTAAGTATGACAGTATTTCCAGCTATCTCCTAGTAAGACAAGCAAAGGAGGTTTATTTGTTTCAATGGCAGAATTTGTGAGATGTTTTTTGAAGATTTACCATACAGCTCTGCGACCAGGTTCTGACTAAAGCTGCCAATAATACAATGATGCATTCAACCTTCAGTTAAACAATTGGCCAGCTACACTGTCTGCTTTTGGGTGGTTGTGCTGGTTTGAGGGCCTCTAGAACAAAATCCCATTGCATTTCTGGTTTCACTGGAGACCTTGTAGCTTTGTGTGTGTTTCTGAGCTAGGTAACCTGTATTTTTCTTGCTTTTGATGCCTTTTAGCGTGGAGATTAAGTGTAAAAAAATTAACACTTTTTTTCTTTATCTGTACAGCTACCCCTGGATCTTCTGTTTGTGAATCTGATGTTAAGCTATCTCTGGAAGAGGCCTCACTAGATGTAGAACTTAGTGGTGAAACTCTTTCTGAGAAGAAGTGAAGTTGATCAGACAAAACTGGAAGCAACTTCTTAAGTAATTATTTAGTGTGTGTTCAACTAAATTACTGAGCTTTCAAAAGCCATTTATGTCTGCGGTTCATAGTGCACTTAAGAATCTTTAGTTTATACATGGTTAACTAGTGTGCACGCTACATATTTAGGTCAAATGTCTTCTCATTTTCTAAAACATTTCAGGAAATGTATTTATTTATCAGTTTGATGAACTGCACACCTTTAATGGAAAAGCTGCACATGAACCTTTTCAGTGTCTTCAAATATTTACTGTAAACTTGTACAAAAAGAAAATACCAATGCAGCGGTATGTGTTACAGTGGCTCTGTTGATGTCACTGTAATGAAGGCATTGTCTGTTGTCATTATAAACTTCTATTTTCAGGAGTTCATAATCTCCCCGTGAATTTCTTTTGTGGGCTGAAATGTAACACATCTTGGCTAGAAGCTTTTTTTTTTTAATTTAACTACATTTCCAAAGAAATCTCTTTTGCCTGGTTTTGAAGATAAGCAGATATTTTCTGCATTTGAATTATTTTATATCGTATATGCTGCAATAATTGGGCATGATGGAGTGAGTTAATGTATTGTCACTTTTGACTCTTCTTATTTTTATTCTGTGTTTACATCAGACCTGTAACATTCAAATACACCTTCTCTTTTGTTGTTTAGTATACATGCTTGTATACGGGTACCTGTATATCATCCAGCAGATAAAACTGTCTTTTATATGTTTTTATCAAAAACTTCTTTTGTTTACTAAAAAGACAGTTCTATTTGCTTTACAATGTGTTTCTACAAAAAGGTGATATTAAAAAGCAGGTTTTGTAAAAAGAGAAATGGTTACAGCTGGTCTGCTAGTAAGTTTATCCTATAAATTGTACATATTCCATCTATGCTTTGTTATCATCCCTTCAGAGCAGAGAGAGACCAGAACTCAGTACTTAACTGTTGCAAAATACTCAGGAGTCATCATGGCCTGGGAATTTTCATACCTGTCTCCTTCCAATCTAGGTGGTTGACAACAGCTCTTACTAAAAAAAAAAAAAAAAAAAAAAAAAAAAAAAGAAAAAAAAAATTTTCTAAGAGCTGTGAGAAGCATTAGTAAGTCAGTGGAACTTTGAGTTATTGGGTTAGGTAGAGTAATCATCCAGTCTCAGCAGTTCTTGTGATTTTATCTGTGGCATGAAAAATTATCAAATTATTATAATAATCCCAAATGTATGAAAATACTGTCCACTTTTGTAAGCTCAAGTGGCTGATTATTAATAACGGACTTCATAAACTACAAGGTAGATAATTCCTTTCACATTTAAGTTGCAGAAGATGTAGCTTCCAAGTAATATTTTTAAGTAGGGCTCTTACTCTTCTCCAGAGCCAGTGCAACTGTAATTATATTCACTTTGCCACAGGGTCTGTTTTCAGTATTTAAATGGCTTCAGCAGACTAATTCTAAAAATGCTGGTTAAATACCAAAAATATGAAGGGTTTCACAGCTATATACTTAAAACATTTCATTTTCTGTAGTGTAATTGTGTTACTGACAGTGTTGGTCTTGCACACAACTGAATGTACACTTGTTTACCGTTGTTTTTTTTTAAAAAAAAAAACTGTTAAAATTTAAGTATGCATATCATTCCAGTCAACCAAAGCTGTGGCATATTTTTTTTATGTGCTCCTAAATAAAACAAGGTCACTGGCAACTTCTTTCCATTTTGTTTTCTTTTAAGAGTATATGTGAAGTACGTTTACTTGACTTAGCAGTCTCAATGGAAAGTGATTTACAAGTAAGCCATTAATATACAAATAAGCCAAAATTTATCTTGGTGGTGAAGGACACGACTTATAAGAAATGAGGGTTTGTCATTTTATACTGAAATCACTCCTCAAAAAGGTAAATGGTAGTGAAACATTCTGCAGTGCTTCCCCATGTTCCAGAATGGTAACATTAAATACAGAACCAGTGTGAGTGCTCTTCTATTTCCTGTTACTAGTCTGGCAATAAGGTAGAATATGGACTGTCCTGAGCTGACTGAAACCTATTTTTGGTCCAATTCCTTTATGCAATTGGACTCTCTCGCTCACATTAAGCTTTTTGAACTGTACATCCTTTTCCAACCAGATTTGACAGAGGTCAAAGAATAAGTTCACAGAAAATTTAATGGTTGACTATGACGGTAACTCCTGAAATTCTACCACCCTGAAACGAAGTTTAAATAAACATTTAGCATTTCCTTCAAAAATGAAGCATCATTACCAAACAGACCAAAACACAGAAATGGTTGTAAAAACACAGAAAATTATTTTAAAATGTTGTTTTATCTGTTTTATATCTCTGTACCATAATAAAGACATAAATTTGAGTTCTCTGTATAATTATACTAGCAAGTACTTAAGAGAAAGCAGATGTGCTTTCATAGTTCACATTTGTAGGAATCCATATAAACAAGTCTAGGGAGGTATGCATACAAAAAATAATGATCATACACTGATCAATAGCATCAAAATCAGCACAGTTTCAAAGGGTGATGGCAGAAGAGATGTAAGAAAGACTTTTAATAGCTATTTCAATGCAATAGACTATTCAAGTAGCAGAATGTAGGGATTTAACAGTGTTCTGTCATCTAACACAGATGGAAACAATGTTCCTTTATTTTTTCTTTATTAGTTTACAGCAATTATATTGCTGATAGACTCATAAGTAACTTGCTAAAGAAAAGACTGCAAAAACTTTTCCAAAAAGTCAGTTCTGGAAGAACTGGTGGAAGAAAAGAAGGGTACTTTCTAGTGGTTGTTTTATGTTTATTTTTCTTTTTAAACAATGGTTTTAATTTTGCTTGGGCTTGTGGAGAGAACAATATCAAACACTAATTTCTTGTCTCCCTTACTTAGCCCTTACAAAGAACCATCTTCTGCTCTGAAATACAAAAAATGGTGTGATAACAAAACAGTCCAGAGTGTATTATTGTGGAAAACAGATGCTGAATAAAAAAATAAACTTTATAAAGCTTTATAAATAATGCAATAAACCTCAGCATACTCCAGACTACATACTATTCTATTGCAGTTCACACTGTAGAGAGTCTCGGAGAGATCCCAGTGTCTGTGAGTCTCATCGAATGTGGACCTTTGAGGACAAGGATGCACTAAATACAGAGAACATCCATATCGTAAATGAGGTAGAAGCTAGTGTGGAAAAGACCTTACAAGAAGCTTGAAGTCTTTGCATTGATAAGTACATGCTAGAACTGTTGTTTTACTTAAAAAAAAAATAAAATAGAATGGCTGAAAATTGATACCATGGATTATTCATGAAATGCCATGGATGATTCTATTCTAAACCATTATTAATTCCCATACATTTTGACCTCAACATATGCTATGCACTCAACCCACAAACAATAAGGTGAACCAAGGATCATAGGAACACAGAATAATTCAGGCTGGAAAGGCCCTCATATGGCATCTAGTCCAACCTCTTGCTCAAATCAGTCTCTTCTGTGAGACCAGACCAGGTCACCTAGGACTTCATCCAGTTTGGGCTTGAGAACCTTGAAGGATGGAGATGGCACCACATCTGTGAGCAACTGGGTGCAATCATAGAATTGTCTAGGTTGGAAGGGACCTTTAAGATCATCTAGACCAACCACCAACCTAATACTGCCAACACTAAACCATGTCCCTAGGCACCACGTCTACCCATCTTAAATACCTCCAGGGATGGTGATTCCTGCCCACTTCCCTGGGCAGCCTTTTCCAATGCTTGACAACCCTTTCTATAAGGAATTTTTTCCTAATATCCAATCTAAACGTCCCCTGGTGCAACTTGAGGCCATTTTCTCTTGTCCTATCACTTGTTACTTGGGAGAAGAGACCATCTTTCAGGTAGTTGTAGAGAGCAGTAAGGTCTCCCCCCAGCCTCCTTGTCTCCAGGCTAAACAACCCCAGTTCCCTCAGCCACTCCTCATAAGACTTGTGCTCCAGACCCCTCACCAGCTTCATTGCCCTTCTCTGGATGTGCTCCAGCACCTCAATGTCTTTCTTGTAGTGAGGGGCCAAAAACTGAACACGGTATTCAAGGTGGGGCCTCACCAGTGCCAAGTACAGGGGGATGATCACTTCCCCAGTCCTGCTGGCCACACTATTCCTGATACAAGCCAGGATGCTGTTGGCCTTCCTGGCCACCTGGGCACACTGCTGCACATGAACATGTCTTCATCACTTCTCTTGCTTATTTAACAGATTTACATTTTGATTTTGATAAACTTATTTAGGTCCACTTAACAGACCTAGAGCAACGTTAGCAAGTACTTTCTGTTGCCTTCTCCTATACACGTGCATACTTAATGCATGATTTATCTAAGACTGGTCCCAAACTTCACTTTCCCAGTAGCTTTTAAATCTTACAGCGTAGGACAGAGCACATCTTTTCACGTTGGCTGGTTCTATTGATTGCTTTGAGACAGTCTGAATCAGAGTTGGTCCTAACTGAACATCTGCAAAATACACAAAGCTCTAAAACCACCACCTTTTTCACATTTTTTCCTGTGTTTAACACCTCCATCTGTACACAAATTCAGCCTTTCTTACATAGACATAATTCCTACTGATATCAGCTTAAATAGGCAAAAAGTAAATTTGGCCCAAAAAGTAAATCAAGGGATATTTTTCGCACTCACTATTTTTTTAACTTGCTATATAAAAAATAAAGGTGGAATTTTATTAAATGGTGTACTTAAGACATTTTATATAGGTTTTAAGTAAATTTTCACTATAGTTTCTTTTAACTTAGTCAAATAGCCCTTTAAGATACCTTAGAAAATTACCAAGTTTTTGACTTTGGATGGCAAAAGTTGCTAAGTTGTAAGGCAACAGACAGTATTTCTTTTTTTGTCTTTCAATATGAAAAAAAAAATCTGGTTTTAATGATTTTTTTTCAGTGTAAAAGTTATGCTACTACTTCAGCCATACCCTGCTCAGAATTGTTTT